GTGAAGTAGGTTGATTCCATGCACAGTTTGAGGAGTTGGCACACTTGTTCTGTGGAAAGTGTGGTTCTGCTGCTGAGAGTGACAAAAAACAAACTATTATTCAAACATAAATTACCTGTCCAGGTAACTCCGTGATGGTAGAAACCACAGGGCGCAGAGGAGCTGTGATGATGGACAGGGTGGTGGACAGGATGAAGACCAAAGTGCTCGTGGAGTTTGAGTCAGAGTCTTCCTCATCGACTGCTTCGTGGACCTCATGTTGCTGCTCACTGCTGCTCACAGAAGTCTCTGTTTCTGCTGCCGTTTCTTCTGTAATGTCAGAAACATCTGTTGTCTCTGAATGAGCATCAGCCACCTGTTGGGATGTTGTTGATGTTTCTCTGCTCTGCTTTGAATCTTCCTCTACATCTGAATCAGTGTTTTCGGCCTCTGTGTTTACAACACTCGCAGGAAGCTCATCGCTGTGAAGACTCTCACTAATTGCAGCTGTCTCTTTTTCCTCTCCCCCACAGCCTCCAGAGAACAGCTCAGCCACTCCCAGCACCTCCTCCAGCTCCTTCATGCTCACTCGCCTCTCGCCTCCTCCTGTCTCTTTGATGAAACCCACGCTGAAGCCAGCCTTCCCCTCTGGAGGAGAGCAGCAGACTGCAGACCACAGCAGCTTCATCTGACACTCCTCGTGKCCATCTTCGTCCGCCCCGAGCCTTCCTGCTCCTGTCAGGACGTAGACGTCGCCCACTGCAGCGCTGCACTGGGGAACGACGCTCGACTGGACCAGTGATGCGACTGTTGAGTCCCAGTGTTGTGGAGGGGAGTCGGCGGTGTGAGATGGACCCCCGCCTCCTCGGAGAAGAACCGGGACTCTGACACCGTCCACTTCTTCCTCTGCCTGACAGAAAAATAACCAATTCATTCATCATGCACCTTTTTCTTCTAACAATCCATTTCATTTAATTAAAAACAAGTTATCAGAGTGGATTACTCTGTCATTTTGTACCATTTGGGTTAATAATTTCATTTAAACAAAAATATACTAAAAACAATATCATGTTTTTGCAACACTTCCTTCTTGTTTCAGCTGTCTAGTTCAAATTAAAAGACGCAAAACTCCAAAAACTAAAGATGATCCCAAARGGGGAAAAAATGTTTCTATAAGCTTTTAAAAAATACTTTTTAGAAACCTTTACTTGCCTACTTGTAGTTATGAAAACACAACGTATCTGCATGATCCCTGCCTAAAAGCTAAAGAGACATCTCCWAACACAAAGCAGTTCTGTTGAATCTGGACCAAAAAAAAGAGGTAAAACTAAGTATTTTAATTAAAAACAGTGATAAGATGTGTTCTATTAAAGTTTTTTATTGAAGAAAAAACAGTAAAATTCTAAGCTATTGGGTCTATACTGAGCTGGTTAAAATCTGGAAAAGAGAACCTTTTAGTTAAAAAAAATCCAGTTTGGTCTTTTTATGGATGAAATGTTATTTTTTTATTTGTTCACTGACACAGCTCTAATTGTAATGCAGTGATGTAAGCATTACTTTAATATTCTGTAACTACCACTGATTGGGATCATTTTGAAGGGTACTTGAGTAGAAACAGTATTTTGTAACTAATTTAAGGTAAGTAATTATATCAAGTATGGATTTAATTTGTAATGTACTTTTCATTAGCAAAAGTAGGAGGAACACAACTTTACCTAATTAAACTGAAGGTGGTTTTAATTGTCATATTTAGCTTAAAGGTTTTAATCACTAGGAGATAAGAGTTAAAATAAAAAGACAGCTGAATTTCACATTTCTGCAAMATGTTTTACTCCTTTTTGAAACTTTTAATAAGTGGCTGTGCAGCTTCTCTACAGGCCACAACTCAGCTCTGATTTCTTAGAAAGGATCACACAAACAGGACTTACACATTCAACTTCATGTGTTTTTTTTTTCATTGCAATGTTAGAAAAACATGTCCTAGAAGTGTCAGATAAATTAACTTACTTTCTTCAGCTTTTCTGTTTATAAGATCAGTAACATTTTTTTCTGCTACGTTTTTCCAAAGCAAGAGTGACAAATGTGTCCTTACCACATTCTCTCTCCATCCGTGGCTGAGATGGAAGGCAGTGTAGACAGCTGTGTCACAGGTCRGTGTGGACAGAGTGGCAAACGCCTGTCCCCCGGGCAGCCTGTGGCAGCGAGGGCGCAGCTGCCGCCCCGCAGAGGCTCCCTGAGGAGGGCTCCGTCTGTAGAAGCAGTCGCTGCAGAGGCTGAAGCCTGGATCTGAGCCGTGCTCATCTGGCTGAGACAGGCCGAGGCCTAACGCTGCCAGCAGCCAGACAGCTGCAGGACCCAGCATGATGGTGAGCTCAACAAACCCCCCCACCCCCCCTCCTCTCACTGACACTTAGAGTGAGAGGGAGAGGCTTATAAATTATCCAGTGGTTTCCGTGTATAGATGCAAAGATAAAGCAGCTGCTGATGGCTGTTTGTTTTTCCCTCACCCACTCCTTGTGTCGTCCTCCTGTTTGGCTCCAACCATGCCTGCCTTCCTTTAATCTCAGCTGTGCTCTGTGGGAGGGAATCGGTATTTGCAGGCACAATCTTGCTTACTCCTTCATTTCCCTTACCCTGACAGCGCCCCCACCCCACCGCCCCATCAGCTCCACCCTCTGGCTGTTTCTCTACCTCACCCCTCCCTTCCACGCTGAGCAGTTACACCTTTAACTCCCTTTCTGTTATGTACACAGGCTCGGTCCACACCTATTAATTACCTGTAAGTCTGCATTCCAAAACAATTCTTTGTGAGTTACTTAATTGACAAACCCCCTAAAAGACTTTTTTTTTTTTGCACATCCCTGAGTCATATCCCCGGCACTGAGCTGCTTGAAACGGTTTCCAAATCAAGCAGAACGTCTCGTTTAGAACTCCAAATTCAGAGCGAATGAGCTCCGAAATGAGCACGGTCTGTTCATGAAATCCTCATTAAAAGTTTTAATCCTCACCGTGTCACATTCACGGTTCACGGTCTCATCCCAGGGCGCAGGGATTCCTCGAGTCGGACTTCTCAGAGACAAAACATTCATGGCTGGAAAAGCTGGAGCTCACCTTCCTAAATATTAAAAACAGACATGTTGAGACTTGAACTGATCCTTAACGAATCGTTATGCCGCAAATCCAAACGGCGCATGAACATTTCAAACTGTATTTTTGACTTTTAGAGGTGGAATTCTGCCACAGTATCTTCTTGTGGCTTAAGATTTATAGTTAAATGTACGTCTGAACTTAAGACTAATGTTGTTTCCTCTGCAAAGTGATCAAAACAAGCAAGGAAAACTATATRTGATAACTACAATGCAGGTAAAGTTAGCAGGAGATGATAAATACAATATGTTCAGGTCCTTTACAGACTTTAGTGAAATCCAGAGTGTAACTCAACACTGAGAGCTTTAGGGTGTGATATTCAGGGTGGGGCATCAAGCCATCTGCAAGACACATGAAACACTCACAGAAATGTTTTAGTCAAATTCACAAAACTTTGTTTTTGGGAGAAAAACGTTGCTTTTTGTGAATCAAATACGACCATATTTAAGTTTAAATAAAAAACTTTTAGTGAGAGTTTGAGCAAACACATTGCATATCTATGAATAAAAATATAAAATTTCTACAATTTGATACAAGAAGTCAATGAAATGATGAACAATGTCCAAAATGTAACAAATAAACAAACATTTGCATTTTAAAAGTTACATTATAACAGTTTTAATGCAAATCTGAGAGGGTGGTTAGACAACACAAAACACAAGATAATAATGTCTAACATGTTTTACATTTATGAACCTTTAAGACAAAAAAAATAATTAGGGACATGGAAACTGCTGCACAAATGATCCAATAAGGCCAGTGAGCTTATTAGACGATTTGTCATTCTGTCACAGTTTCATTACTTCACATTTTAAATCAACACTCATCTCTGAATATCGTTTTAACAGTGACACTGCAATAAAGCCATTATCCACCAGGGGAGGCTTTCGTCTCAGAAAAAAAAAGTCAGTCAAGTGCAGCCTTCGCCCCCTCCCTCACACAAACAGATGGAAGCCCCCATCCCTGCTCACTCGTTAGGGATGTCGATGACCAGTTCAGCCTCGTCTCCCTCCCCTCGGTCTTCATCACCCCTGTCACTGTCTCCGTCGCTCTCACCTTCTTCCTCAGCTGCATCTCCGCTAAGCATCTGCCGGGGAACCCAGCTGAAGGGGCCGCTGGCTGCTGCAGGAGCTGCGGGGCCCGACGAGTAGTTAGCTGCCATCGGAGCGACAACCTGAGGAGATCAAAATAAATCAAGCAAACACGCAAACGAAGACACGATGGGGGAACATGGAGGGTAAATGGATGGCTACATTATAAATGTCAAATCAAAAGAAAACATGCAGTATGTATATGACTTTATACATAATCAATTCACCTCACTACTGACTAAGAAATCAATGCTATATGTTGCTTTATATTTCATTTCATGTAAATCCTAAAACAAAGACTTTCTTTGCTGTCAACTATAAACAGCTTGTTTATTATGCAAGAAGTCAACATCAGATCTAATTATCATCACTGCTCTCTCTAAAAACTATATTTTCCCCTCTCCTCCTCACCTTCCCTGCGGTTTCTCTCTTGGTTTTTGGCGTCTTTGTTTTTCTCTCTTTCTTCATTCGCTCAGCTGCCGGTGCCAAATACTCTGGTAGGAAGGGCATCTGCCCAACACACATGCAGAACCCCAAATTTCCAAATGACCACATGGACATGCATGCACAGAGTCAGGAGTTTACATGACAGAAACACATAGACAAATCTAAAAAATAATAATAATAATAAAATTCCACAAAGGAATGACTAATAAAAAGAGACAGCGAAGGCATTTTTTCTCAACAAAAACTAAAAAAAGAGAAGAAAAACTATCACTAATAAAATGATGGAACAATTAAATGAAAACAGAGAATATGTTCTGCAAATGAGAAGAGGAGAATGGCAGTCATGTGATCGTAACTAAGATGTATGGAGAAGAGACAGAAACTCACAGCATTAAGGTAAGGTCCAGCGCCGGACGACTGCAGAGGAATTACTCCAGGACGGGATAATACAGAGAGATGAGGTGATGATGATGATGAAAGGCACGCACCAGGATTCAGTTTTCTCCTGAAAATATTTTAAAAGATATTCACAAGATTATTGACAAGAGTAAAAACTAGTTCATTTTTTTACTGTTTCAAAATTTTCTGCTATTTTACTTGCAGTATCTCTCATTTTTATACATTTTGTTTTTAAGTGAAAGATTAATCTTACATACCAGTTCTTTAGCTTTTTCACATTCTTTTAATATACCGGTCCTTTTTTGCTGCTTTTATTGAMGCAAGTAAACAACTTAAATCAAATTATGTTTTGCAGGAGTCTGAAAATAATAAGACGGCTAAATAACAAACCATCTGATTTATTTTCTGCTTAATATTTTGTTGTTGACTGGTTCGACACAGCAGTAATTGATCCAATGAGTAAGAACCTTACTTAAACGTGCTTTAACAACACAAAAAATAGTGTTCAAAAATGTTCAAGTACTAAAACCGGACTGACCATAAATGAAAAATTTACTAAACTTACTTTTTTGCTCCTTCTCTTTCTCTTTCCCTCTCCCTGATTCCTTCAATTTCACTGTTTTCTGAGGAAACTGTTGCGTCTGAATCTGAAGGATAAGTTTAGCAGCACAGTAAGCACAAATTATATCACATCAAAAGYTTTGTTATCATGAATGACATTTCCTCTACCTGAAGAGTCTTCGTCTATCCTCTCATACTGCAGTAATCGGTCCAGAAGGAAGCTGTAAAAAAYACATGAATGTGTTAATTTATTGAGCTGTCTTGGTGTCTACCATTCACCCCTCTACACTTTAAAACAGGGTTAGTTTCACCTTTTGTCCCTGGAAACTTTCAGAAGTTTCCTTTGTGCTCTCCTTAGCTCCTCCTGAAAACATTCCTGCTCCTGGAAAGATAACGCATGTTTTTTTTTTTATTCCGATAATTTGATATTTAAAGCTTCAGTTTTGTGTGGAATGAACAAGAGGAAAAGATTCTGGGGGGGATTAAATGTCTCCAGGACCCAGATCTACTAAATGAATAAAAGTGAAATATGGAAAGCAACGAATTTAAGATTTCTCTCGTATCACATAATATTAAATTATAAGAATTGGTGAAAGACAGAATCAAACATTTATTCCAAAAAAGGAGAGGATAAAGAAAAAGAAAAAAGAACGATAACACAACACATAAACAGCCACACSACATGCACTAAAATACCACAAATTTGAACGCTTACATAGACGAGGAATTTTAATTTTCGTTTTAGGTTTTTGTACTTCCGCTTGTAGTCAACCTCGACGTCCGCTTGACCATTCATATCTGAAATAAAAACAGACAAAACCATAAAACTAACGTCTGCAAACCTGTACGAGGATCTCTGCTAGCTTCATGCTAGCTTCATTACGCTAGCTGAAAATGCTGTATTTTACAGCCGACTGACCGCAGATACAAATATGCAAAACTTAYAAAGTGACAAGAACACAACTAAAGTTTATTCAAAATACTCAAACCACAATTTTAAACTCTACAACTAATTTAATTTGTGTAAAAAYCAGTGTTACCTCTAGCTTGGGTTTGTCTCTGCGACATGCTGTTGTTTACAGTCATGACGTCATTAGGATGCGTCGGAGCACAGYGCTGCCTCCTGCAGGTCAAGAGGTGTCAGTGCAAGGTCTGCCCAAGGTTGTGTTCCTTTTGTTTTACCTAAAATAATCAAGTGTTTTGACTGTAAAGCGAATTCTGACTGGGTCTCAGGTGAGTCCTCGTTGTTCGGTTTAYATAAAATTTAATTTAATAGACAGTGTTCTCTGCTGAAAGTTTAAGGGCAAATTAGAGCCAAAAAATAAAAATAAAAATAAAAATTACAAAATTGACACAGTGTGTCTGGATTTCAGTTTTCTCTCAGCTTAAATTTTTTAATCTATTTTATTCTTACGTTTATGTTTTATCCTTGAAATAAGAGTATCATAAAATTAACTTATTCCATTTGTGACCAACTTCTATGTTTTAAACTGAGTATGAAGAAATGTTTTGTCTTGACACAAATATTAGCTATTAATTAATTAATTAATTAATTTTTCTTGCATTATTATTGTATTTTTAAATGCACAAAATTTATTTGGAAATTATCTTAAATTGTAGTAATTATGGCTTTTGAAGTTCTACAAATAAACAATAGAAATGTAGTTTTTAGATGATGCTGTTATAAGGATTTGTTAAATATATTTATCTGTTCCTAGGCAGTTTTAGTTTTACCTCCTCAGTCATGACATCATGCAGCAAGATTTTGTGTTTCTCTTTAATCCCCCTGTAGGTGTCCTCTCTCCACCTGCCGCATTCTCTACTGCACCAAGTGTGCAGCTTTAATCTTAGCTCGCCACAGTCACTTTCCTGGGCCCAGTACCATGAATTATTGATGAAGACCATTTGCTTCAGTGCACATTCCCATAGCCCATAGCCAGACCCTCTGTGTGTTGGATTTATGGCAGGGGGATGAGACATATGAAGATGAGTGGACAGACTATCATCAGATTGAAGAAGAAAGAAAGCCTTGTTGCTGGGTACAGGAAAACAAACAGTAAAGGGCAGAAAACTATTAACAGAGTGACCACACACACCTCAGACAGCAAGACACTGATGAAACAGCAGCTTCCACAGTGAGGACAGCTCATCGTTGCAGCAGTGAATTTTCCCTCCCTCCCACACATTAGAGCCACCTCACAAAAATAAACATGGATTCTCTCTCTTCCAGGCAAAACAATCGCTGATATGAAACACAATGCTGCCTCTGACCGACCGTCTGCCTCTCCTGTTGTTTTCAAAGACACTGGCAGACAAAAATAGATTCATCTGTTTCAGCCTCCATAAATCTCTGCTGCCAGCCACCCAGTCAGCCAACACAACCCCCCACTCCGTGCCAGCCCTATGCAGTCACCTGCCTCTTTCCCATTTTTATGGATCCACATAATCTCATGTTCAGACAGTTGCTCCTGATCATCAAACTCATCTATAAGTTACTTCTTGTACATTTTCAGCTCGGATGTACGTTCTCGTTGTGCTGTTTTTGTACATGTGGTCCTGCGAGTGTCTCCCGCCCCCTCGTCCCCTGTCCCTTTGTCTTTTGCGCCTCTGTATGATCTGCTTTGTTTAAATGACCTTGACTTTGTTGCATCTACTTACGCTCCTCACAACGTTTATTTTGTTAAATCCCACAGACTTACTTTAGCTTTTGTGTTATTGTAAAAAGCAGGGAACTGGAATGTACCAGAACCGCACTACAGACAACAACAACAACTGCAACAAAAGCCTTCTCTGTGATCACAAGGTAAGATTCTTGCGTGAAAGTTTTCACCTGGTGTTTTGCTTTAGAACTGACAGGACACACATTATTATAATGTCATTGTTCATAAATCAGTAACTCTCTGTGTGTTTTTCTTCAACATTCACATTCTGTTTCGTGTGTGTGTGTGTGTGTGTGTGTGTGTGTGTGTGTGTGTGTGTGTGTGTGTGTGTAAATGTCACAGGCGAAGCTCGTCCAGGCTATTAAAAGAATCAAGCATGAGGTAGATGAATGCAGAGAAGCAGAAAGAGAGGCGTACATCGACTCGTTGGAAGTAGAGGTAACTTTGCCACACAGTTTATTCTTCTGGTAACAAAACTGATTTTCTTTATAAAAAAAACAAAAAGCCTAAAAAAACACCACTTTTAATTAGAATCAAATAAACATAATGCTAAAAGAGCACAGATAAAAAAAAAATAATCTAATCTAATTTAATTGGCACAGTGAGTGCACTGGTTGAAATTATTTTCCCAAGCATGTTAGGACTCAGTCGTGGAAAATATGCCTTAAAGTTGTGTTTATATATGATATCCTTATTGTTTTGCCAAAACTCTTGTAGATAAAGAAGATATAAGAGAGAGATAAGAGATGCATTGCACCACATTAAGGTTGGGAGATTTTTGGCAAAAAAATATTCACAATTAATTGCAGCGTTTAGCTGAAAACGATTAAAACCATGTATGTTTTTGACTCTAAATCAGTTACTCTGTGTTTTAAAATTATACATACAATCATCAGTCAAACTAACGTTTTCATTTTAACAAGGCACAGATTGTGTTATAAAGTGTTTGAGTATCCTAGTTGTATAGAAAGGTACTATACAAGTAAGGTCCATTTACCATTTAAAAATAAATGTGCCTAAAAAAATCACAAACGCAATGAAGAGCAGTTGGATTTACCAGGATTTTACTGCATTTAAAAAAATGTCTCTGGAGCTTACACTTTGATTTTTAGTTTATGAGTTATTGTGCAGCTTTTCTGTAAAGCAACGTCTAATAAAAGTTGCTGAGTCTGAGTAAACTGTTCCTGCTCACTAGTCAGCCATTTCTCACATCATCAATAAAGTCTGATCATCCAGAGTCACTGGAACACATTCATGTTAAAAACCATCCTGCTGTTTATTTTACAGACAGTTTCAATAATGAGACATTTTTTGGCCTCCTACATTTTTTTTCTTTTAAACCAGACTGCTATTTGTTTTGTCCAAAGAATGCTGCTCCTCTCTTATAACTTACACATWCACTTAATTAAATTTGACCTTTTGGCAAAAAAAAAAATAGATTTTACTTGTGAAAAAAGCTGTAAATCCTCAAATAATCCTCCAAGATGAATGTAAACAAATTCCTTCAGCTGGAAGATTAAAGTCTGCACCTTAAGCCCACATGTCTTATGTAATAAGAACACAAAGTTCAAATTTCCAGTACATAAAAAACAGAAAACAGATACAACTTTATGCAAAAACAAATGGAAGGATAAAACATTCATACTAAATAACAATGCTTCTTGTTTCTTCAGAACAGCTTTGATGGCCTGGAACGAGAAATCAGAGCTGAGTTTCAGAACCTTCATCGCTTCCTGGAGGAAGAAGAGTGCAAGGACCTGGAAAGGCTGAGGAGGGAAAGACAGAAACAGCAGAAGCAGCTGAAGGAGAGGGAGAAGAAGATAGAAGCACAAGGAAAAGACCTGGAGAGGGCAATCACAGTGCTGAACAGCAAACTGGCCGAGGAGGACAGTCCCAAGCTGCTCAAAGTGAGGAAAAAAAACAGATGTTCTGAATTCTGCTGAAGAATTACATTAGAACTAAAAGCTACAGAGAAACAATGTTAGCTTCACATCAGAGTAAATCTGCAATCTTTTACCAGATGTTCCTCTGGACKTGATGAATAATAGACATTGATCAGCCAAATAGTTGACCTGTCTACGTTTACAAGTGAAAATCAATTTCTCATTTAAAAGCAAAAGGAAAACCGATGCATTTATCAACAAACAGAACATCTACACTAATGAGAGGCGGCTGGAAGTGTCAGTTTAACGACCAACATTTATTAAATCCTTTTTCTCGTTGCAGGAAATCCAAGACCTCGTAAAAAGGCAAGTTYACTCCAAGTGTAGATTTATCAAAACAATTAAACTTGTTTATGTTCTTTGTATCGGCCTATCTGTTCTCTTGGTATCCAACAGATTGTAATCATTCAGGCCTTTTCTTTTCTCRTCTTCCACAAATAGGTCTAAGGTCAGCTTTGTTCTTCCAGCTGAGGTGTACACAGAGGTGCGCTCTGGTCCGTTTGCAGGTCCCATTCAGTACAGGATATGGAAACACATGAAAACCTGCCTCTACCCGAGTATGTACATGTTTGTCTGATAAAGCTATAGAAGTCATATTTTCTGTGAAAATACAGCGTGAGAACTGAAGGCTAAAGTATTTTTTTGAAACTTGTTGATTAATTAATTAGCATACTTGTTAAATTAAAACAAGCCGTTCACAAGTAAAACAAGTTCAAATGAGSAAAATCTCAGTTAAATGCTTGCCTTTAGTAATACATGTAAATATAGTGAAAGAGGAGCTAAAATGTTAACTACAAGCTAAATGTAGTAAAAATTACAAGTGGCATAACAGCAGAAGTTGAAAACTAAAATGAGCAAAGCAGTAGCTAAAAAAACAACAACTTTGGAGTAGATCCACTGCTTCTCCATATCAAGAGGAACCAGGTGAAGTGGTTTATGCATCTGGTAAAGATGCCTCCTGGACACTTCTCCAAGGAGGTGTTCCAGGCATGTCTGACTGGGAGGAGACTCTCGACACAATGAAGAGAGTCTCTCGGCTGGCCAGGGAAAACCTTTGGGTCCTCCTTGAAGAGATGGAGGAGGTGTCTGTGGAAACAGATGTCTGGGCCCTGATCAAGACCCAACTCTAGAACAAACATCAGATAATGGATGGATGGATGGATGGATGATGGATGGACGGACGGACGGATGGACAGACGGATGGATGGATGGATAACTAAAAATCACAATTATCAAGTCAGGTGCTAAAAGGCTAAATGTAGCAAAATTACAGCCAAAAACTAAAATTGGCTAAACAATGGCTAAAAGCTAAATGTAGCTATGTGCAAAACCACAGTTAAAGCTGAGAGGAGTGTAAAAAGACAAAAACAGGGCCATATTTGATGATGTAAATTTGCAGAGAACAATATCTTTGGAGGAATTAAGGAAGTTTCAACGTCTTTCTACTTAAAATGTAAATAAATTAAATGATTCAAAAAGTATGAAAGTTATAAACACTAAATGTCATTGTACACAATTTCTGAGTGAGTCAAACATTTTGACGCATGAATGGTATATGAGGAATTAGTGCATGTAATGGAAACTTTAAACATGAAAACTACAGTGTTAATGCAAAATCCACGCAATCAGAACCTGGAAATGAGCAGCTTAACTCACTGTATGACTCATTATGTTTGTACCTACAGATATTACATCAGTGACCTTTGACCCCGAGACAGCCCACCCTAATCTGACCTTGTCCCAGTCCTGCACTTCCATTTGGTTTGATGAGAATAAAGATACTTCAGAAGTCCAAGCCAACCCACGCCGGTTCCACTATTATTACTGCGTKTTGGGCCACCAGGGCTTCACCACCGGCCGGCACTACTGGGAGGTGGAGGTGGGGGGCAAGACGGCGTGGAGGCTGGGTGTAGCCCGAGGAGATGTTCCCAGAGGGGAGATGAAGGCTACAGGCAGCTCCAGTGGTCTCTGGACGTTGGCCCTGAAAGAGGGCTCCATCTTAGCCTGCCTGGATCCAAAGTCCACTAAGATCAACGTGTCCGTCCACCTCGTCCGCGTTGGCGTCTTCTTAGACTGTAGCAAGGAGGAAGTGACTTTCTATAATGCCCTTTCCATGGCKCCGATTTAYACTTTCTCCATGGGAACTGTCCTGGTTCCCCTGTTTCCCTTCTTCAACCCATGTGACACAGATGATGGGAAGAACACGGCACCGATTATCATCTTTACCCCCTCACTATGAGAGAAGGGTATTTTGTAGAGGTRCAACAATGCAGAAAATTCACGATTTGGTTCGGTTCARTACTTTAGTCTCACGGTTCGATATTTTTCAATAAAAAAAAAAGAGAAATTTCCATGCCCTTTTTGACTTGTAATTTATTTAAATTAATTATGAAAGTTTGTTTAACCTCAAAATTTAGTTTTTAAATTAAATGTTGCTGAATCAGCACGTTTCTTTGTGGATCTGCACTCGACAATGCAGCCTAGGTGGAGTAGTCGAACACAGATCCACTGATCCTTTAATACAGAGCATCTTCATAAGACAAGTTGATAAAATAAATTTTAAAAAAACCTGCGTTGTTCGATACAAGTATATATTGAACCTAAAGCACTGCGTTGAACGGTTCGATACGGGTACATGTATTGTTGCACCCCTGGTATTTTGCTAATTGGTTGTAACAGTTAATGGTAACATTTTAAGCAAAGATTTGTAGCAGCCAGACTGTTGAGAATGACTCCCAGTTGCTAACATTTTAGCTCRATATATGGTAACTGGTAGCCATTTTTGTGCTAGTCGATGTTGATTAGGTTTGGCAGCCATCTTGAATTTAATTGACTTCACCAGTAGATTTTCATCCAGTGAATTCTTTCTGTTTAGTGGTTTAAAGGGGACACGTCATGCAAAATCCACTTCTTTAGCTGTTAAAAACATTTTTGTTGTGTACTTGGAGTCTCTATGAGTGCAGAGAATTTGAATTCTCCTCCCCCTGTGGGTCAGACTCTGGCTCCAACATGCTGGAGGGTTGTGGGCGTCTTTTAATAATTTGTTTAAACATTTATTTAAAATATAAAATTCTGTGCCTCTATAAACTCAAAAACCCTCTCTCAAACTACAATGGACTGGCCTGGAAGCTGGTGGGGGGGTGGGGTGTGAAGTGTGTTTGGATTTAAAGAGACAGCCTCAAAATGAGTTGATCTGACCCACCCCAGAAAAGAAGGTGAAAGAAGGGCTTTTAGAGTTATAATAAGGAGGAATTCAGACCAAAGCATTGTAGTTCCACTTCATATAGAGTCTATACCTAAGGAAGTTCAAATTGAAAARCTGAATTTAATGCAAAAGCTCCAGTTCACAGTTTATTTATTTTTCCCACATGAGAAGTAGGGTTGGGCAATATTGGCAAAAAAATTAATCACGATTAATTGCGGTATTTAGTCAATAACGATTAATTTGATGGTTGATCCCCTGGAGTGTCTGGACACTCTTAGGTCTTAGTCACATGACCAATTTAGTAGGAAAATTTGCTCTTCGTAAAAAATCTGTTCCAAATTGTGTCAAAATTAAAGACTTCAGGCTATACAACAAATTTAAATTGTGTTGATAAATAAATTACAGAACTTTTTTTAACGTTYGTCATATTTGAAGCGGAGAGGAGCACCGAGTGGACTGACCGGAGTAAWCCCCAGTCAGTGGCATTAACCGTCAAGTGCCAAAAAATAATTGAGTAATGTTTTTCTGGCGATTAATTGCACACAATACGATTATGCCCAACCCTAATGAGAAGTTACACAAACCACGTGGGACTGTATATGTCCTCTGTCTGCATGCTGCTCTACAATGTCTATAAGGCAACATGAKAAGAGCAACCGTCTCTCTGCATGAGATAAATAAGACAAGAAGACGRAAGATGTCGTATGTTCTTATTTTTATTTTTAGCATTTCTTTAGACATGAAATAAAGAAAAAAGGGAAACATTTGTTGTTACAAAACATCTGTTAGGGAAGAGTTGTGCAGAAAAAGAAGCACAGATAGAGCACAGACAGCAGCAGTGATCAGAGACAGCTGTGCACGGAGAACCAGGGGTGGTCTTCAGAGGTGGACACCAAGATGGAACAATCCTGATCCAGCTAAAAGCTCTGTTTAGGATGCTGGTCATGTGTAACAACAAACACCTTCCTGGAGTGGTTTTTGGGTTTTTACAATTACCRACAAGAGAAGTGGAGCATGAAGATGATGTTTAAACCTCCTCTTGTTAATGTGGCCCAGAGGGTTACTCACTACACGCTTTAGGTTTCATCTGCTGCAGTCAGGAGCTTACACACATACTCCAGATTATGTTACAGACACTCTCACTTACAAATAAACCCTATTCAGTGTCTGTATGCTACTGCACTTATATTTAAGTAAAAGCCATTTCACAGGCACAGCCTTTCACATAAACACAGAATAAGTCAACTGTCTGGTCAAAGCAGGGCCGGCCCTAGCCTATTTGGTGCCCTAGGCAAGCTTTCAGGTGGTGCCCCTTGTGCAGTTTTTTAAAATCTTACTGCTAATTTGTCCAACTAACATAGTTAATATGATTCATTTGAAACAGAAAACMRGAAGTCTATCTCATACCTGCCACCATCTGCTGAAATCATGAGGAACACCTGTTCATGATAACCAGCAGCAGTTCTAGGGGGTCTAGGTGTATACTCCCCAGAAAATTTAGTCAAAGATCTACTTAAAACTATGTATTTTCCAGCCGTTTGAAGATCGTTTTACTGAATTCTTGGGATAAATACAACAACAGAAAATGAGTATTTTATGAAAGTAAAACACTGAAAAACAGACTCTTTTTTGTTTTGTATTTACACACTGAGCACCAGCAGTTWGTCTTGACTGCATCATATGATACTTTTATCACCATAAAGAGCAACATATAACACCTCATGTAGCAACAAAGCATCTGAGAAACCCACAGAACAAGTTACCTTCATAAACTTGCAGTGATTATCCTACAGACTAAATTAACTACACTCTAATAAAATGTTATTTAAAAAAAAATCAWCCCCCATTTGTGTCGCCCCCTAGATGGGTRGCRCCCTTAGCTTTTGCCTATACTGCCTACGCCACAGGCCGGCCCTGTGTTCAGGTGTGAAAACGCTGTTCTGCTGCTCTTTTTAACAAAACAAGGTGCATTTAGGACGTGACTAATAGAAAAAAGTACAGCTAGCTATGATACATTTTAGGCACTAAAACAAAAACACTGAAATATCAACATTTTACTTTTTTGTGTCAAGTTTCAAATAAGTTCACACTCATAATTTAAACACAGCTTTTTATTTCTCACAATTTAAGCAGGCACATGGATACCGTACACACACATACACACACACACACACACACACACACACACACACACACACACACATGGTCACAGGAAGTACGTTTCATTCTGTACAGGTGCATAGATTCAGCACACGCTCGCTCTTTCATGCCTCAAACACCAACGTCGCACCGAAGACAGACAAACTTTACAGACGACTCTTTAAACAACATTGAAATATCACTTCTCTTGACACGTACGACTTCTGGACAACACAAGCCTGTTGCTCACATTTCGGGCATGCTGCAGTAGATGCGTAAAGTGATATTAGCTAAACATTTTTATTAAAGTGTGTAAATACTGTGAGAGATACTTTCATTTGAAAAAAGCTGAAAACTTATCTAAAAGGAGCCATTATAGTTTGTTTATGGGCTGATTTTTTTTACAATGTTTTGTTGCTACATTAGTTCAAGACATTAGTGAATATTAGTATATATAGTATTTTAACTGTATTTATATATTAGATTTAAAGTTGGTGAGAAATTTGAATTAGTTGACTTTTTATTTACTTAGTATGATACAATAATTGCTCTATACACTAGAAACATTCAGCCACCGAGGGGTTAAACTGGCAAACACATGCAGTATTTACATTATTTGTGGTGTGTGTTTGTGGTTTGTTGTGTGTGTATGGATATTGTCAGTATTCTGACTGTGGTTCCCTCACAGATCCAGGCAGAAAAAGAGGCCTACACAGCATTTCATAGATGAGCTTCACTCTGACTTTTACTGTTGATCTATTTCACAGCGAGGCACCTTGATATCACTCAGATAATTTTATAACTTTAATTTAGTCTAAGAGTCAAATTTGACATCTGAATCTGTCTTGGCTTATGGCTTTTTAAGATGCTGGCACAACAGTTTAGCCATAAGAAACATCTTATCAGCCTAGAAGCTACACAGAAAAGGCCAGCTGAGTGTAAATTATCTGATGAGAACCTTTAAACATTTTTGTCTCGTTTGATTAAATTTTTGTTACTTTTTGTGCTTTTCATTAAGAAATATCAAATGTTTTGGTAGATTTTTATATCTGAAACCAGCTGAACCAAAAGGGAGGCATGTTTTATTTTTAAAAACACATAAATATGAATCCTCTGTTTCAGAGTTAATATTAAATAGTTATGACAGCACATTTAAATGCTTCTGAATACATTGAAACTAGTTCTAAAAGATAGTGTGGTGGCATCAATGAAGGCCTCRCATTATAGGTTATAAAAGAATTAGTGACATTTGTAAAACCTGAAAAGTGAAGAAAATATTTTTCCAACAAGTGAAACAAGAAAAGGACAAAAAGATTCAGTGAATAACAGAGAAAGACATAAATGCAAAAAAAGAAAAGTAGAAAATACTCTCCACTAGTTCAAACTTAAAACACTTTTTTTTCGGCATACATCTTTTAAAAAACTTGTTAAACAACGAAAATAGGAAGGTCTTATTAAGTTACAGACATTCCCAGGAATACTGTACAACCTATATTATTTATTTGGCTGCATTGGGGCTGAAATTTAAGTAAAATTACTCAGAAATCTAGAACAAAAGCAAATTTGAACATGATATTCTGCATCAGATATTTCCTTTCAGATTGTAAATCTCAATAAAATAATTAATAGTTGTTAGTATGATTAGTATTTGTTTATTATGAAGGTTTCAGAAGAAAGTGGGAATAAAATTCACCTTTTAGCTGCATATGAGGTAATTTTATTAACTTTCTTTTTCTCTTTGTTGTTTATTTTTAGTGGGTCTAAAAAGCTCGAACTCAGATAATTTGAAATAGGGTTTAGCTTAAATGCATAATCAATATCTTACCTGCTGCAGAGGACTTTTACAACAACTTAATTTTGGGAAAAGTTGAGTTTAATTCTGACTGGACGGATGAGCTAATGGCTGGTCTGAGTGTAGCTGAAACCGGATCACAGCCATCCTGAGCAGCGACAATCTAAAAAATGTTCATCAGATCACTATTTTATAAACTTTTACACTGATTTCCATTTTGTGTTGCGCAGTTATTATAGAAAAGCATATTATATTCCTGCTGAAATTGGATTGCACCAGGAATGATACAGCTAGCTGCTAATGCTGCTAATTGTGCTTGTGAATGATCACCAGAGGCGGAGCTAGACRTTTTTTCAAGGGGCAGAACAGGGGTGGCTGAGGTGTTTTTCAGAGGGCACATACAAATAAWGGAAAGCATTTTGGATTGAATTCAAGATGGCCGCTACAGCTAATTCCACATGCTTTAATTCAGCTGTTTTAAGAAATATTGAGCTGAAATTTGTTTGATACTAGCTAAGAGAGTTCCAAAAACCATGCTAGTCACAACTTATTATTCAGCCATTTTTAGATATACAAAGGTGAAGATCAGTGTAGAAGTAGCCAAAAACTGTCCTTATAAAATTCTAAATGCTAAGCACAAATTCAAGATGACCACCACAGCTACATTTAAAAGGCTATAATTCAGCCATTTCAATACTTATTGAGATGAAATATGTTGGGGAATATCTAAGAATGATCACATGCACATTGCCAATACTAAATTTAAATTAAGCTAACCGCTAATGCTAATGCCAGTTTTACAAAGAGCTACAATTCAGCCATTTTTAAGCATACACAGCTGAAAATTTTATCAGAGAAAAATCATGGACAAAAGCAAAATGCAAATACAAAATCCAAGATCCCCACCCACTTGTCAGTTACCTTGGGGTGGAACAGAGGGTGGCTAATCAGGTGCCAGAGGTGGCACTTCCCACCATGTCCACCCCTCTGGCTCCACCTCTGATCATCACGCCAGTCAGAATTAAACTATTTCTCCAAACCAAAGTAATTCAAACAGCTATCTACAGCAAATAAGATATTGTTGTTTATACTTTTTCTACAGAACCTTACTTTAAAAGATCTGACCAAACTAAAAACTTGTTTTCTTTCTGGCAAACTCATCCACAGGCCGCTAGACATGCCATCATCTAAATGTGACCTGATGTTCAGCTGGAGTCTAATAAAGCATTTTACCACGCTGATTCAATGAAATGTCGTAAACCTTCTTTTTATAAAAGACCCTATGTGGAGTTAAAGTTTTAGCTGTAAACTCTGCAAAAGACTTCATTTGCAGCTTGGCAGTTTTACGGAGGAAATAAAAAATAAATAAAAATAAGGCTGCAAGATGCGTACAACTAAAATGTTTCTTATTGAAAAGCCCCGTGTCTTATTTTGAAGTGTGCCTCAGTCAGAAAGTTTCAAAGATTATAGAAAAATGAAGTATCATTATCAGGGTGGGTTCAGGCTCTGGACAGGTTCTATCACCGTCCTCGCCCCAGCTGCTGTGCTTTCCTCATCTTTATTTTTTGGAGGTGGGGGTGTTCGATTGTCTGCAGTGGTGGTAAACGGGGATCTGTGGGGGGCTTCTCCCTGCTTCCTGCAGGTACAGTCCTCAGGTGGTGGTGGACTCCTCGGCTGCAGAGCCATCTTTGTGGGCCTCCGGGACAACACCACTAGATTTCAGCTCCACCTCGTTGGTTTTAGGGGAAACTTCTTTCGGAGCCGAGCCTTTGATAATATCTGCGTGATCTGGACTTGCTTTGGCATCCGGACCTGGCTCAGGAGTACCGTTAGTAATAGGTTCTGCTGAAGCTGGTTTGGCAGGGTCTGTAGAAGGAGCTGAGGAGGTCTTGCTCTCAGGTGTTGGAGTGGTGGCTGTAGGGATGGCTGCCTTGGGCTCTGGACTTGGACTGGATGCAGGCTTTGGATCAGCTGGACTCAAAGCAGCCTTGGGTTCTGGACTTGGACTGGGTGCAGGCTTTGGATCAGCTGGGCTCAGACCAGCTTTGGGTTCTGGGCTTGGGGATGGACTAAGTTTAGAATCAGCTGGTTTGGGTGCATCCAACTTTTCTTTCTTAGGCTGATCGGGGGTTTTCTTGGTCTCGGGGGCGGGGCTGATTTTGGTTTCAGGTACTGGACTGGGCTTAATTTCTGCAGCTGGCTTGGACTCAGCAGTGGGAGGAGAACTCGGTTTGGTTTCAGAGATGCTTGCAGCCTCAGAATCTGGGATTTGATCAGGGGCGTCAGTGTCTGTGTCCAGTGGGAGAGCAGTGTTGAAGCCAACGCCTGAGTCACTGGTTTCTAGATTACCCACCCCGACTTCTTTAGAGGAAACCTCCAGACCCTGTGTTCAGTGAGAAAAACGTCATGTTTATTCACTGTGTAACATTTGAACATGTCATCTCAAATTTCAACTGAGTCTGGTGCCACAGACGTGGCAAGGTAATATAAAAATATGATATAAACAGCTTTTAATAGTAAAATAAACTGGAGGATAATAAGAAGCTAAAGTAGGATAAAACAGGATTCTGTGAGTCACAGTTCAGCGACAGTGCAGTGGGCTTGGGCTTGATGCAGGCTTTTGGTCAGGGTTGAAACATTTAACTCAATAAAAGGCAGAGGCAAACAAATATGTTCAGCCTTAACTTAAAAGAACCAGAAGTTGGGACTTGGCCTCAGGTTTTCTGGGAGCTTGTCGTGATGCATAAAATGTGAAAACTCTGAGTTTGGAACAAGTAAAGTCAKCCCAGAAGACCTGAGAGGCCAGAAAGATTCATAAGACAGGAGCAGATCAATTGACTTCGGTTTTAAATCATTCAGCACTTAAAAAAACACCAAATATCCACTTTTAGTTGCACAGGAAAGCCACTGCAAAGATCTGAGACCTGGACTGACGTGATCCGCATTCTTGATCTTAGTGAGGGCTCTAGCAGGAGCGTTCTGAATAAGCTGTCTAAACGCAGAAAACAGCATAAAATGCAATCATTATTAAGACTTTTCTGACTTCACTTTGAGAAGAAAACATCAAATGGACTTACTTTGATATCCACCTCGGTGCTCTGAGATTTTTCTGTGTTGTCCGCCTGGGAATGTTTGGATTCCTCGCTGAGCTTGGTGATGTTCTTCACCACCTGCAAAGGTGCGACACAAAAACAATCAATTATCTCACAACGCTCGTCACCATCGAGACGTTTTGTTGCATATTCATCCAACCTGTCTGAAAGCCTCTCCCTCATCCTCTTTGCCAGCRTTCTGGGCGAGTTTTTCCAGGGCAGCAGCCCTCTTGGCCCTCTTCTTCACTTTGATCAGGCAGGACAGCAAACAGGCGAGCAGAAGGAAAGTCAGCAGGCCCAACAGGGCAATGATGGCCACGTAGAGAGGCTCCAGTTTATAGGCTGCAGAGGAGGGAGACAAGAGAGAGGGGAACATRATTAAACTGACCTTTTACTGACATTTATTCAGATTCCCCAACATGATTACAAAAGAAAAAAGTGACCCCTCTTTAGTTGACCCACTGTGTGTCCATGCTAACATTTAGAAATTTCCCAGCAACACAATTCTAAACCACAGGCATTCTTTTTTCCCCCCAACTGCACCCTGTTTTTTGCTTACGTTCTAATTCCAGCCGGACGGTGGACACGGTGAAACCCCGTGAGTCTGTGACTTTAAACAGGCCTGCGTCTGAAGCCTTGATCTGGTCCAGAAAAACCATTGAACCCTCCAAATACAGGCGGTCCTCAAACCCCAGCTCTGTTTGGGCCTGGAAGTAAAACAAATACTTGGATCAGTAGCATGAAAAAATAAATTAAGTTTAGATTTGCACAAATGTAACGTCCCAATGGCTCTGAATTAACATGAACACCTGATTAGAAAACTTCTGAATTACTTTTATTATAAATAATGATTTCAAATAAAAAGATAACAAACTGATTTTTTATGAATGTGTTAAACTAATGGTTTCCAAAACTTTTCAGAGTTTGACCCACAAAATAACAGCAGTAGAGACCTGTGCCCTCAACAATTTTTGGGAGATAAACATTGGTATTAGGTCAAATAAACAAGGAAATATTAGCTATTCATTATGCTAATTTCATACATTTTAACATTACATTCACCCTTTTGTAACAACTAAGGCAAAAAACGTATTGTTAATAGTCATGTTTATCCATCCATCCATCCATTTTCTTCCGCCTATCCGGGATTGGGTCGTGGAGGCCCAGACCTCCCTCTCCCCAGCCACTTCTTCCAGCTCCTCCGGGGGAACTCCAAGGCGTTCCCAGGCCAGCCGAGAGACATAGTCCCTCCAGCGTGTCCTGGGTCTTCCTCGGGGCCTCCTCCCAATCTTACCTGTTGTAGCTAATTATTGATAGGAAGGACAGGACCTCTGGATTTAAGCTCCGTCCTCCAGCAGGTTATGGG